GCGATTGGGGTTTTTTGGCGGAAAAGCGCGTCTAGATTGGCACGGATGCTTTTCCGCAAAAAAACTTTTTCCGAAAAAGCGTCCTGCCAATCTAGACGTGCTTTTCCGAAAATGCTTTTAACGGAAAACTTTTCCGTTAAAAGCATTTTCGGAAATTCATGCCAGTGTAGACATAGCCTAGGTGTCTAGCTGCATATTAGAGTGCCTAAATACCTGTGTCAATCTGCTCCTAAATCACTTTTGAAAATGGGACTTCGAATCCTTAGCTCCTTGGACACTTTCGAGAATCATACGCGGCCGGCCCGGCATAAATGATTTTATACCCCCCGTCGGAGTTTCCAACCCCTGTCAATGGCGACTGTCCAATGGGTTTAGACACACGGTGGAAACAAGCACAGCGGGGTTTATAGCTCGGCTACTCCTAGGAGTGTTTCGACAGGTTGTGAAGAGGAGCAGCAGCTCCACATTTTCAATCACGCAGAGGGCTCCCTGCTGTCTGCCTCTCAGGGGCAGCTGCATTACTGAGACACAGTTTGTCGACGTGGCTTAGTTATTATGTTCCGTGGGTTTACGCTGTTGCTTGGCCAGACACAGATTTAGTGCCTGCTGCTGTGTTGTTTATGCGCCACTCAGCCGCCCTGCGAATCATTGTGGGGATGCAGGGAGGTCAGAGCAAGCACACGCCTGCAATCCCGGATCTGCCTGCTGACCCCCAGAGGGTCCGAACTGGCGCTCAGCTTGGTCAACAAGCATCTCCCCAGTGACTGTTGCGGGCTTTGACTTCTGATGTGCCATGGAGGGCTACTGACTCTGACAGTGGCTGCTACCAGATGCCCGAAGTTTGTGGGAAGGGGGGAACCTTCCCTGTTGGCTGCCGGGATAAGACCGAATTCCTCCTTGTCTGCAGAAAGGCGAGGAGTCCTCGGGCACCTTTGAGATAGGGATGTGAAAGCTGCCCCAAGGAGTTAACCAGTTAAACGATGTGTTTAATTGCTGCCTGCAGCAGACGCTGATAGACCCTGGGGACAGTAGCCCCGCCAATGCCGGCTACTCCAGCCCCACCCCACCAGCCGAGGCCGCAAGCCTGCCGTGGGTAGGGGGCTGCTCCTGCCCGTGGGGCCCTCTGGTTAACTGGTAAGCCTAACTGGGTAACCAGTTAACTGTTTTATCTTTAACATCCCTACTTAGAGACTAACAGATTGATTAGGGCCTAAGCTTTCCTGGGTAAAACCCACTAGATCTGTTTTACCCAGAAACGCTTAGGCCCTAATCAATCTGTTAGACCTGCCGTGGGTAGGGGGCTGCTCCTGCCCGTGGGGCCCTCTGGTTAACTGGTAAGCCTAACTGGGTAACCAGTTAACTGTTTTATCTTTAACATCCCTACTTAGAGACTAACAGATTGATTAGGGCCTAAGCTTTCCTGGGTAAAACCCACTAGATCTGTTTTACCCAGAAACGCTTAGGCCCTAATCAATCTGTTAGACTCCCTCCCTTGTTTTTGCAGATACAGACTAACACCCAGCCTCAGGCATTTTGCTTTCCCCTTCA